CTCTCTGCTCGCGGGCGCCTCGCGGCCGGCGGTGGGCGCGTTCCGCCGCGCCCCGCCGCATCGAGGGTTCTAGATAGCTCCAGAGGACGTTAGGACGGCACGCACGAGCGTCCCGGGGCTGGGAGGTAGAGGATGGCGGGAATGAATGGGGGCCGGGACGCGGGGAAGGGGCGCGGCGTCTCCCCTCCGCGGGACAGGCTCCATCTGGGGTGCTGGTGGCTGGGTCCCGTGTGGCCGGAGTACCCCGAGCCCTCCCGTCCCCGGCCCCCGCCGCCGGCGCCGCCCGGACGGCCGGGGTCGTGGGAACTGCCAGCTGCAGGTGTGGTCCCTCTGGGAAGGCCCCGCGTGCTCCTGTATGTGCAGGGAATCGGTCCTGTTCCCGAAGACTCCAGATGCTTCTTCCAGACTCAAAGACACGCTCAGATTTTCCCTCCCTGATTTTACATCCACAGAGACATAACCAGGTGGTAGTGCTTTGGTCTGGATCCTCTCATCCCATGCTACAAAGCCTCAGCCCACTCTACTAGCCAGCCTCTAGGTTGTGGGATCTCCTTCGTTCATAATCCCTGGTGGGAGGCGGGAAGGTTCTGTTCTAATAGTTAACTAGGGTAACTGTGCAGTTAGCTGGCCTGTGTTCCTGGTCTTGGTTATGGCGATTGGGATTAAATATGGCTTATTTGAAAAGGAAATTGAAAGGTTATTGTAGCTTTGGATGTAAATATTTCCTTAATTTACCCAGTGTGGCCTCTGGAACTTTTTTTTAAAAAATAGCTTTAATTCATAGTTATGAGCAGTGAACTAATAACCATTGGTTCCTCAGTATTAACATTCATATACATGTATATGTGTATTAATAAATGTGAATATATGCTATCTCTGAAATAGTTAACTCTTTCATATAACTGAAACTGGGACCCCAGGCCCACACTCCAGGAGTTTCACATGTCAGGGTCTCCACTTGCCATATCCCTCAAAGAGATATGGTGAAGGGTCAAGAGATTGATTACATGGCAAGAAGTTCACTGAAAGATAGTATGTCATTAAGTCTTAGTCCAGACATTTGCCTTTGTTGTTCTTGGAGTATTTACTTTCTCCTTATCTTTGTTACCCTTATCTTTGTTTTGCCACTTTATTTGCAACTTTTTTTGCCCCATGAGATTTTTGCTGTCAGATACTTGGACAAGGTTTTCTTTGTAGTGCTAATTTTGATCGAGAACGTTAAGGCTCAACACTTAAAAGTTTCTGGTTTTATTGGATTCAATGAGAGGGACCTTACATCTTTCAATTCAACTCAGAACAAACCTGAAGGCTTATGTGCTGCAGTTCGGCCTGTAGCTGGATCACAGATAACCTCTTGGGGGGAAAATAATTTGATGGTGCTTTCTTGCTTTTTTTTAAAAACGAACTTCAATTTCTAGTTATAAGCAGTGAGCTAATGCATTGGTTTTTCAGTATTAGCATTCATATATATGCAAGTATATATGAATATATATTCTATCTCTGAACTAGTTAAATCTTTCATATAGCTGAAACTGGGACCCAAGGCCCACACTCCAGGAGTTTCACGTGTCAGGGTCTCCACTTGCCTCTATACCTCAAATAAAGAGATATGGTGAAGGGTCAAGAGGTTTATTACATGACAGGAAGTTCACTGACAGTATGTCAGTAAGTCTCCATGCAGACATTTGCCTTAGGTTGAATAGAATTGGTGGTAGGTAGGGGGTGAGGAGGTATGCAAAGATCAAATAGTTTCAAGTCACAGATGGGTTCTGAGGTGGCCAGAGTTGGCCTCAGAAGTGCTCTGATGGTCCATCCTCCCAGGATTGGTCAGATAGACATTACCAGTCTTTGATCCTGAAAGCTAGTTTTCTTCTTGGATTTTCAAATGGCTGTAAAAAGTTACTGCAAGAGAAAAAGGAAAGAGATGGAATTAAAAAAAAAAAGTTTAGTGTACCTAGTTTGTCCTGCTCTGTTGATTTGTGGGAGTTAATGTTTCTTAACAAAAAGCAGCTTTTAAGCATCTCTTAGATAATGAGGTTCAACCTTTCTGATCTTTACTGTAGTATATTTGATGTATAAGTCAAATTTGTATTTATTTAGCTCAACTTGATTCTTAAAAAATCATAAGAATAGGAAAGCCAGAAGACCAATAAATAATGAGAAAGATGGCAGCATTGTGTTTGCATACCAGTTAAAATGAATGTCCATGGCTTATGCCTGTGATTCTAGTTACTCAAGAGGCTAAGATCTGGTGATTGTAGTTCAAAGCCAGCCAGGCTAGAAAGTCCCTGAGACTCTGATCTGCACTGAACTACCTGCCTGAAGCAGAATGGTGCTTCAAGTAGTGGAGCCAAAAGCCTTGAGCCAAATAAGATTAGGGACAACACCAAGATTTTGAGTTCAAGCCCAGGACTAGCACCCCTCCTCCCCAAACAAAACATTTTTGTTAGTCTCTGACCCTAATGCAGTATGTAATAGTGTTATAAAAAGCTCTCATTTAATTGCCAGTATCATAGGGAAACATTTTGATAGTAATGAAGAATTCAGGTCCCAGAAATTATTGTGTACATTTTATCACCTGCCACTTTATGGAAGCTTAACTTAAAATGCTTGCAGGTTACTTAATTTCTCTACTTGCCTGGTAGAGCTTTGCAAAGGGTAAATATAAGTGAGTATAATTTCTGGCCCAGTAATTTTGGAGATTAGGGAAAAGGAAGTTAACAAAAGTTGAGAGAGAAGGGTGGAGAAAATAATTTTGAAATCTTTCAATGAAGAAATGTTTTCAAGGCTTATCAGGTTTAAGAAGAGGGTTTAATGATTATTGCTTTGGGAATATTAACGTGATAAACAGTTTTGAGGGAAGTATATCAGACAGTGATGGTACCCTATTCTAATAAGAGGGGAGCGCCTAAGTTACATCAATGGAGTTGAAGAGTTGAAATGAATTTGATATGATTATTTAGGATCATTGTTAACTGAGGGAGATGAGAAATTTGATGAGATGGAGAACTCAGGCCAATGTTACTTTTTTTTCTTCCGTTATGATGGTCTCAGGGGCTAGAGTGCTTTTTTGTTCAAGGCTAACACACTATAACTTAAGCCACACTGCTCCATTTCTGGATTTTGTTGGTTAATTGGAGTTTCACAGACTTTCCTGTGTGGCTGGCTTCCAACAGTGACCCTCAGTTCGTGACTTTCTGAGTCACTAATGTTACAGAAGTAAGCCACTGCTTCCCAGGTGCAATGATATTTATTTTTTTAGTAAGATAGCAAAAGCAGGAGCAGGAGCAGAAGTGCTCCTACAGGAGCGCTGCAGGATGTGTTGAGCTACATGAGGTGAGTCTGTGACTCAGTGTCAGGGACTTGAGAAGTTCTGAGTGTGAAAGACTAGATATGGGCACTACTCATGTCCAGCTATGACAGTGTAGAATGGAAGATTGAGTCCATAAACATTAAGTACCTGGTTCCTGGCATTCACCTGGCACGTCAATAGTTTGAACATAGGGCCCTATCTGGTTTCCAAGTGTAGGATAGGCTTCTGTTCCCTGTTGAAAATCTACCTCTTATTTCCCTTGCTTATCTTGCCCACCAAAAAGGACGGAATTTTGCTAGTTTTGTGATTTCTCTCTGTAAAACTGTCATCTGTCATAGTCTAGGTATGAATGGGTATTGCCCCAATGCTTGCAGTATATGTTTTTCCATTCTTCCTGGTGCTGATCTTGTTTACGATTTCCTTAGTGCATGCTGTCTGGCTGTAGGGATCATTCTTAATAATCATAGATGGAGAAGGAGGGACAAGTTTCCTTTTAGCATTGCTGCTTGTAGAATTGTTTCAGCCCCAAGCTATTGTTGACAAATGATCCTAGCATAGAATGTCTTAAGTTTCAAGCCAAGTTTATAGTAATGATGTTTAAGACTCTCAGGCCAGAACAATTAGCTGCTGGAAAAACACGAGCTCTAATTATCCAAGGACTGGCAAAGCAAATTCTGCCCAGCAACTTTGGAAATGAACTGTACTTGTCTAAGAGGTAGCCAGGTATGAATGTTCCAGATGGTATGTATGAAAATTTTAGACAACTATTTATGACTTGATTTTATTTATTTATACTTTTGAGTTTTTTTCTTTTTTTAGGCAACCTCCCGACTTTTAGTAAGTTACCCAGAGCCCTTTCGTTCTGAAATATTGGATTATCTCTTTAAGGTAATTAAAAGTAATTATTTGATCAAATGTGATAATGTAGAACGTTTATGGTGAATTTCAGCTTTAAAATTGATCAGCATTACATTTGAGAAAAATATGGCAAATAACTTCTGGAATAGGCTGCCATTGCAAGTTTTGCTTTTGTTTTCTCACTTGTAAAGCCCAAGGCAGTTACTGATAATTGTCTTGAAGTTTCATCCGATGTAGCACAGTGACAGTACTGTTACTTCTTTCCACAGCCAAATTTTGGTGCCTCTTTGCATATTCTGAAAGTGGAAATAGGCGGTGATGGGCAAACAACAGGTAGGAGCTTTTGGGAAATAGAGGTGTTCCCCCAGCATTTTCATCCACCCTGAACCTGTGGAATAAGATATCAGCCTTGTAATAATACCAGTTCTTTTGAGGTTGATTGCTGCTTAGCAGGTTCTTATGTTTTCCTTTCCCTCTTGTTACTCAAAAATTTTATTAAATTATGAATTTTCCAAAAGTATTCAGACTTCAGGTTGCTTATTTAGTTTGGGTAATCAGGAATCAACACCTGCATAGTTTTCTAAAAACTTTATACAACAGAGTAGAGGGACAATTTGAGATGTTTATGGAGAAGTTAAAAAATGATTTGAATTTAGTATAGAGCATGTAGTGTTATTAACTTTAAAAGTACCTTGTAAAAATGTAAGTTATCTGTATTTTAGAGTTACAGCTTTAACAATATTATTTTTTAACCATAAATCTTCAGTCTTTATGCCCACCATGTTGAGTGTAGTACCTGTTACCACTTAGTAGTTCATTGGTCCCTGTTTGCCCAGAAGAAAATAAAATAATTTAATAATTAGATATAGCTTAATATTTGTAGGTCAGATTCTCTTATATCTACTTTAACTATAGAGTATCTTCTGTCTACTTGTATGTTGGTATTCAGTAGACTTTTAGGGTGAAGGGCTTGGCTTTCAAAGGCCCAATGGAATAGGCTCAGTCACCTGCCATATTACGTCAAACAAAGAGTGAGGCCATACTAGGAAGAACAGGAAAGGTGAAGCTGAAACTTTTTTTGAGGGATTGACAGGGAATTTAAAATTTTAGTAAAAGGAGAACAAAGCAAGAGTTGAGGGCAATTGTATAGCTAGAGGCTTTTTTTGCATAGCTGGGAGAACAGTTGGTCAGACTATGGGTAGGTTGACACTAACTCAGGATTGATTCTACAAAGCTGTGAAGAAGAAGTGCTCATGAGAAGCCGAATTGAGTTCTTCCCACCGTCTGTTCTGCAGGGTTCATTGTTCCTTGGGGGAAGTTTTGGCCCCTTGTCATAAAAATGTTTATTTTTAAGATTTTCATAGTTGCAAGTAATCTATTTTGATGGTATTGTTTCATCCTCTTTATTAGCCCAACCCTCTTCTGTTAGTAGCCAACCTCCTGCTACTGATGTTTATTAATTATATACCTGTTCTTAGAATCCAAGGTAACTAGCCGAAGGAGACATGACTGAGGAGAGAACTCAGAAGCAAAAAAAGGGGAAGAGGCAGAATGGAGTCAGAAAGGGACAAAATGAAGTTAGTTAGGTCAGTGACTGGTCTCACCTCCAGAATTGAGTGTTTATATTGGAAGAAAAAAATATAAATCAGAATCAAAGGAAGCTCCTATAATAGAAACTTTTCCTTAGCTCCTATAAGAAGTCTGGCCAGCTTCTTTTGCTGAAATTATTTATAAGTAGATATCCCTAAGCAAAAGCAGTTCTTGTCTATTCTGATATTTACCTTTAAGAAGAAATGTATCAGTTTTTTTGGTAAAGCCAAGGACAGAGGTTTGTGAAGTATGAAAACATATGAAGACTTTGATGTCAGTTACCTGTCTCTGAGCTTAATGATGTTGCATGTACTATGGATGCTAGCTTGGAATTTTGTTATTGTTGTAGTTGACATGTGTACTAGTTCCTTTTTTCTGGAAATTTATTATATCAAGGTAGTCTATAGATTTTATGTTATAAGGTGTAATAAGAATAAGATTTCAGAGAATAGGATTTCAGAAGTTCAGGGATTCATATTTGGAATGTCTTTGAAAGGTCAAGGTCCAGCTGAATCTCTATCTCTATCTCTATCTCTATCTCTATCTCCTTTGGTTATTTGAGGTGATCTCAGTTTTCTTAATGCTACTTTTAATGTAAAGTTGTAATTCTGTTATTTAAGACCTTTAATGTGCTTTGAAAATGAAGGAAATAATATATCATTCGTATAAGATTATTCTTACTTGTCTAGTATTAGGATTGGAACCTGAACACTGCTTTGTGTGTGTGTGTGTGTGTGGCACCATTATAAACTATTTTCTTTCTTTCTGTTCCTCCACATTCAGATGGAACTGAGCCCTCTCACATGCACTATACATTAGATGAGAATTATTTTCGAGGCTATGAGTGGTGGTTAATGAAGGAAGCTAAGAAGAGGAACCCTGATATTATACTTATGGGTAAGAAGAGAAGCTCATGTTTCTTCAGTCTCTTTCACTTTTTGTGAATCTAGTCTGTTGATAATGAAATAATAACAGTGTCTTAAAGGCCATGGGCTATCAGCTATAAAGCAGGAATTTGTGTCAGGAGTGACTTTTTGTTGCTCTTGCCATATTATGTTTTATCTTTATGATGCCTCCACAGTGAAGTGTTACTCTTCTTGTTTTACAATAGAGGCAGGGCCAGGGCTTGAGAGATTGTGTAACTGATCTAAGGTCACAAGTAATAAAGTTCAAAATCAGGTTTAGAACCTGATTCCTTTGTTGTTGCTATTATTGTCTGGTATGTGTGATGTGTTCCTTAATTCAACACCTCAACACAATCTCGCTAATTTGTAAAAGTATACTACTTATAATACTAAATTTTGCACTAGTAGGCTCTAATTTTAGAAGAGATACACATGAGATCATGTATTTGCTTTATTTATTTTTTTGTATTTGAACACAGAGCCTCAAACTTGCTATCATTTGCTATCACTTGCCACCACTTAGTCTTGCTCCACCACTGCAGCTACACTTCTAGCTCTTTAGTTACTTTTCAGATAGGATATCATGCTTTTTACCTAGGCCAGCCTTGGACAGTGATCCCGCTTTTGTCTCCCCTGTTAATGTTTTCAACTCTCACAGATGTAAGCCTACTCTTCCATGGGTTGAGCAATACAGTTCTCAATTCCTATGTATATTGGATGTAATTTCTTTGGATAATTGCTCAAGTAAGATTGGATTCATTTCTTGGTTAATTATAGAGCATTACTTACAGAGCCTGTAAAGTATTTCAAACATCCAGAGTAGTGGGATGGCTTCATTGTTTGAAATTTTGCTATTTTGAAACAGGTTTATGAACATTCAGCTTAAGTAATCATCTCTTAAATATTTAACTTCAAGTTATTTAAAAATAATTTTCTCAAAAATCAAAGGAAAATAACACTTTGTAAAACGAACAAAAAACAAAACAATGAGTGAGTTTGTTCTTTCAAATGGGCTTTTGTGAGAAATTACAGAAATGTTTTGAATAATAAAAGCATCACTGGATAGAGCTGTTTTCAAGGCCAAACCTCATTTCAGTATAGAAAGTCAAGCATGTCTAACAAAAACATTTAGGTGGTATTTACCATTTCACTGTTTTCAAATGTTCCATTAATTTATTTTTTTAAATTTGGGGCTCCTGGCATTTAAATTCAGGGCGTCTTACTTGCTAGGCTGGTTTTCAGCTCAGTTATTCACTAGTTATTTTTAGGATAGGATCTTACTTCCTACCTGGACACATGCCTGAGTCATGACCTACCTAGTTTCAGCTTCCTGTTGTAGCTGGAATCACAGGCATGCACCCCTGAATCCAGCTCCTCTCTGTGGAAATCCAGTTTTAGGACGTTTAGTGCTCAGCTGTGGGTGAGAAGGGGTCTTCTGAGCTTTGGTGCCTGTGTTGGACTTGCATTTCAGTCCTCCCATCCTCAGCCTCCCAAATAGCTAGGAGTACTGTCCTCTCGTGCTCAGTTAAGGTCACATACTTTTTAATGTAGTGTAGTTAGTTATTTAGAAAAATAAGGATTTCGTTGTTTGGATTTTTTTCAGTAGTGAACTAGATTGAAAATATATTTAATACCTCAAGAACTTACCTGTTGAGCTTCTTTTAATATATTATAAATAATATATGTTAATATATTATAAGTAATATATTATAAGTTATTTAAGATTTGGAATGATAATTAGTGCCTTTCTATATGGCTATTTTTAAACTTAATCAGTTATTTGAAGAATATGGATTTACTTGATTTATATCATTTGATATATATTTTCCTATTGAGTCATTAGCATTTATATTGGTATCAATACAAAGTTAGGTTTGCCAAATTTGATTGCTCAACCTATTAATATTTTAAGTAGCCTGAAATTATAAGATGTACTTGTGAATGAGAAATTGCATCATTTGAAATTACCTCAGAGGTAGGGCTGTTCTCTGAGAACAGGAATTCAATATTCAACATCTCTACAGGCAGTAGAAATGTTAAGCGAAAAATGTACTATTTTTCTATTAGTAAATGTCTTTGAGAGCATGATTTATTTTTATTTCATCTTCGTGAAGGGACGTTTGGAATTTGACTCTGGAGATCAGTAAGAACTTTCAGTGTCCATAATAGAGAGGGATTTTAAGGATGTGTATGTTTGGTCTCTGGCCTCACTGAGTGATTTTTGGTTGGTTTGTTTCTGAAGTGCCAGCATTTCTCACTCACCTCTTTTCCTCTGTGTACAGGGTTGCCATGGTCATTCCCTGGATGGCTGGGCAAAGGCTTAAACTGGCCTTACAAAAATATTCAGCTGACTGCCTACTATATCGTGAGCTGGATTGTGGGTGCCAAGCATTACCATAATTTAGACATTGATTATATTGGAGTAAGTAATGTATATAAGATACTATTTGTTTTTAGACTTTTATTTAAAATAATTTTTAAAAGTAATTTGATTCTATGGTACTTTGTTGGTTGACTGTTTTGTGTCATGTGGCTAATTAGTTTCACTAGTGTCTGCTAATAACACAAATTAACCACATATGACCTTTGATTATTCTCTACCCATCCAACTTCTTTCCCACCTTAAAAAGACAAATTGTATAGAGAATATGTCTTCTGAACTAGTTTTTAATTTTTTTAAATGCCAATATTATGTTTAAATATTTAAACATAATATTGTGTCTTTCCAGAGCTGCTCTACTGACAGGCTGAAGTATGTTTTAGACTGCATTGTACCTATAGAGTCTCACACATAGTAGATTTCTGCCAAAATTGACCTTGAAGTTTTTCATGCAGTCATGACTTAGATTATCAACAAGCACATACTGATGAGTTCCTACTGGTGTTGCATGAGTATAACTATAATATTCTGGGAATAACAAAATAAGCCCTTGAGCTTAGTGAGAGAGATAGACATTGGAACAGATGTACTCAACTATCACAAGAAGATTTAGGACAGGAGGAAGAATAGTGCTGTAGGAAGTCAGCAATGTGAACGCATTTGATTTTGTTCTCCTTTTTCAGAATATAATTGAACATTACGCTGTGAATTCTCTTAAATGTCATAACATCTTTAACTCATAGTGAGACTGAATGTAGGATTGCATTACAATAGTTTTTTATGATGTTAGATATTTAAAAAATGTTACTTGTAAATAATGGGTGAGTCATATCTCAAACTCTTGAAGATCACTTGCTGTAGAGAAGGACTTTGATATGAAACTTACTGTAGCACTTGGACTCAAGGCTCATCTCTGTTGCTGATTGTCTTTGACTACAAAAGCTATAGAGCTCTAAGTTCCCTTTTAAGTCTAAAGCCCCATGCTCTTAAGAGATTTGATACGTTTCCTTTTATTCTTCCTTTTTCATGAAGAGTTTTCTTTGCATATTCTACCACATCTTTGAGATTCTGTGTCCTTCAAAATTGTTCTGTACGGTATCCTTACTAAGGTTCAGCTTATAAGTATACCTTTAGAGGTCAGATTGGAATTGGTATAGCGATCCTTATATCTATTAGTTCTCCAGTGCTCAATATAGTCCTAGTACAAAAAAAAAAACTACCATCCTTTCTTGGATGAATGTATATTGCATTGTTGGAAATCCCTGTATTTAGAAAACATCCACAAAATATTTTAAGGATTTTTAAAGAATAATAATTTAGAAAGATAAGCGCTGTCTGATTTGTATCTGTAAATTCTATGAAAGCATATCCTGTAAGGTGGGAAAATGGCTTATTAGATACAATAAGAAGTGGAATGAGAAGACAAATATCTTAACTCTGAATTTAAACTTTCTATTTGTTTTACAGATTTGGAATGAAAGGTCATTTGATGTCAATTATATCAAGGTTTGTACAACTTCATTATTTTACATATTATTTTGTTACTTGTGAATAATTCTTTATGTTTCCATACATAGAAATAATAAGAAATTAATAGTAGAAACACTACACTTTTTCATAGAACAATTATTATTTTGGTAGTTTTGATATTAAACTGTAATCCTCTGCTAGGATTATTCTAGACATATACTAATTATTACAAATGAGAGAAACCATGGAGCCTATGTTTCTTTGGGTCTGGCTTACTTAATATGATTTTTTTTCCAAGTCTTTTCATTTCCTTACAAATGGAGTGATACCATTTTTTCTGATGAAAGCATAGAATTCCGTTGTGTATATATATTGCATTTTTTTGATCCATTCATCTACTAAGGGCATCTGGGTTGGTTCCCTATCTTAGCTATTGTAAATAATGCTGCAGTGAACATGGTTGTGCTGGTGGCTTTATTATGGCCTTGTTTGTGGTCACTTGGGTAAATGCCCAGGAGTGGGATTGCTGGGTCATAGGGGAGCTCTATGTTTAGTCTTTTGAGGAATCTCCATACTGCTTTCCAGAGTGGTTGAACAAGTTTACACTCTCACCAACAATGTAGTAGCATTCCCTTTTGGTCACATCCCTACCAGCATCTGGTGTTGATTTCTTGATAATGGCTATTTTACCTGGGGAGCTATATACATACGACCATATAAAATGATGCTTATTGACATGAACTCCAAGATATAGAAACAAGAGTTTTTTCTTTGTTGTTGTTGTTGATTTTAATGTGCTGTGTGAAGCTATTTCTTTTTTTTTCTTTCTTCCCTTTGGTTTATCCCCTGTTGTCACTGTATTTGATTTTGGTACCCTGTGTCTTGTACACACATTTATCTGATTTGGGAAAGGGAAGCACAACAACAAAATGGTGAGACAGAGGACAAATGGTGAACCAATACAACAGTAATACTCACAAGACACTATGTTGGAAATGAATTTTACAACTTTGTGAAGGGAAGTTGGGGTGGAGGGAAAGTGGGAGGAAAATGAGAGAGAGTTAACAATGTTTGACAAGAAATATACTCATTACCTTACATATGTTAACGGTAACCCCTCTATATATCACTTTGACAATAAAATTAAATTAAAAAATAAAATTGCAGTAAAATCTTAAAATTAAAGCACATGTAATCCTCTATATTTCTGTATCTTAAGAGTTTGATTGAGTTTCCCTATTTTAAAATTCACTAGCTTAATGGGGTTGAGGGATTGTAGTTCAGGGTGGAGGGTATACTTAACTTGAAAAAACAAATACTAATTTTAGATGGATAGATATAAAGCAGTGTAACAATTTTGAATGGACTCTTACTTATAAATTGAAACTTATAACTTGTACATTTTGAAATGTTCTAATATATTGTGTGTAGAGTACAGGATCTTAATGGTGATTATCTAGGAGAGCTAGAAAAATCTAGATATAGTCATGGTTCCAAGTGCACAACTTGACCAAGTTATTCTTTTTCAGCTCTTCTTGCTGAATGGATACAAACAAGTCACTCTGCTTTAAATTCACAGTGTTTGAAAATGGCTAGCGCACAGTAGCAGATGCTCAACATTATTGATCAAATTAATAAAAATAATCAAAAATAATTTTACAAGCTCTCTTTTTACATTTGATTTTTTCTGAGTGATGGAAATTTCCAAATAACAACAAATAACAAAATATCTAATTAACTCTGTGGTGTATTTTACAATAGTTTCTCAAAACTGATGTATTGTTACATATTTAGAAAATGTGAGAATAAGAGTGACAAGCCAAACTTATCTTCCAAACAAGATCATTTGAGTCCAAGGGAATCCTGAAAACAATTGACTATCAAGCAGTTCCTTAGAGTAAATACAGACTCATCATGCTCAGAGGTACTCTGAGTTACAGTAGATGGGGAATCCCTATCTCTCTATAAGGAGATACATGCATTATGAGTTCCATTACAAGTTCTTTTTGCACAATCCTGGGGATCTACTACTTGAGTCTGACTTCTAATTCTAGTTCTTTTGTTGGGTTAATTGGCGATGAGAGCCTCAAGCATTAATTTACTTGGCTGGCTCCAAACCACAATCCTCAGGTTGTAGAGGCTGAGGCCTCCAAGTAGCAAGGATTATAGGCATATAGGCACCTAACTGTTTTGGTGTTCAGATGTGTGTTTGCACCAGACCCTGTTTTATGCTTCTTTTATAGTTCTTGTGGGACTCAAGAATAGTATTCAGTGCCGATGAAGGGCTCTGTACTCTTTGTTGATTTATTTCCTGTTAAGCTTCTTTTAATTTTTGTAGATAAATGGTACTATAGATAGATTTTATTTTCCTATCTTTTTTAACCATGAACGTCTTGATATTAAGAATGGAATATTTCTTATTTATACTGGTGTAGTCTAAAATATTAAGAATTATGATGTTCTGTTGTTACAAAAATTATTAAGCACTTTAAGACCTTGAAAAATACTTAAATAGAATGATAGGCTAAAATATTTTACCAAATTGTGTGACTAGGAGCCCAATTTTATTGTTAAGTCTGCATAGGAAATTCCTAGAAGGAAGCATACCAAAATAATAGTAATTACATCTGGGCTTACTTCCTACCATTTGATTATTTTTACTTATGTTGCTCGCTTTCTATACTCCAATTTCTATGGTTCAACATACTTTTAAAGTCAGAAGGGAAATCTCTCTAAAACTTCTTTTCCCTATGAACAGTTGAGAAACAATATTGAAACTGTCATCCTGAGTGCTGAGCTTTTGAAGCTACTTCGTTAGCTATTTTTGTTATAATTCAGTATCTACAAACCCTTCCTTTGATCTTATCTCTCAAAAGGTATTAAGAAGGATGCTGAACTACCAGGGTTTCCAGCAAGTGAAAATCATAGCAAGTGATAATCTTTGGGAGCCTATTTCTTCTTCTATGCTGTTTGACCCTGAACTCTTGAAGGTGATTGATGTAATAGGGTAAGGCCTGTTTTCCACTGGTTGATTGCTCTAGGTGTGACTGTGATTTTCTTCCCTCCTATTTGATTATATTCTGGGTAGGTAATTGTTTACTTAAGGGAAATGTGTACAGCCCATACTTTATCTTATTCTCTTTGAGATTTAGGTATTTGAGGAATCTTTCTACAACATACACTTAAAAAATGTTGATATATGGAGTCATAAAATGAGGCCCTTATTTTGAGTAAGTGGTAGTATTTAATTTTAGGAATTATGAAAGCAGTGTTGTAAGGTTAGTTCCTTAGGTTTCCTGCAGCTGGGAGGCCTTATATTTGTAAATGGTTTGGCATGTGTGCTGACTAACTTTCATCATAAATCCTTAGTAATGTAGTTCTGATCCCATTCTTTATTCCATTTCTACTTTATAGCCCTGTTTTCTCTCACCTTATTAAGGTACCACAGTATTTTTTAAAGTAAATTTGTATTTTACCTATCATGAGACAGTTCATAGCATTTAAAAAATAGAATATATATTTGTGGATTTGCTAATCTGTTATGAAGACTGTGACTCTGCTTGATGTCTTTTTAAAAAATGTAGTTTTTTGTTGTTGTTGGTAATGCTCTTCTCCTTTCCCTTTTCCTTTTTTCCTTTCTCATTCCCTTTTTCATGCCCTCTCTTCTTCCTTTCCTCTCTTCCTTGTTTTTAGTGCTAGGGATCAAACCTATGACCATGTACATGGTAGGCAAGTCCTCTAGTACTAAGTTATACCCCCAGCTTAAGAATTTTGAATGTACACAAAAGCAAGCAGGCTAGTATAACAGATATCTTAAGTTCCAATCACTTGGCATCAAAAACAGAGAAGCCATGGCCAATTCTTTTCCTAAATGCCTATTCATTTCTTTTTACTTCTTCCTCACATTATTTTCAAATAAACCTCAAATGTTATTTCTTCTTTAAAACCTTTCCATGTTCCTGTAAATATAAGAATTTTTTTCTCCCCCACCACAAATAATATCTAAGTGATATTGTCTGCTTTAGCTATCTGGAGTTACCAGGGATGTTTGTTTCCTCCTCTTAGTGGATTTTTGTTTCAGTCATAGGAAGTCTTGGCTGTATGATAGTTACCACTTTGTTAATTGGTACTATGATTTGTAACTGTTATCAATAGAAAATACCATTCTCTTGTCTCATTAAATTTTCTCGACTACATGGTATAATGAAGAAATTCCTGCTTCCTTAACTTGTATGTTTCTGTTTTTTGCCTTTCAAGCTAATTTTGTTTGAGTGTTGTAGAATGCTGTTATGTTTTTTGTTTACTTCCTAATTTGTAATTTTTGTGTTGTTGTTCTTTACACCTGTTCTGAAAATCTTGATATTTTGATGAGTTAACTAAACACATGGTATTTTTTGGTATAACTGATATTTGTGTTCTTCATGTTGCAATAATGTCTTGCCTACTGAGTGATTTATACCTCTAGCAGTGCAAAATTTTTTCCTGTGAGGTTTGCTTTCTTTATTCTTGCTTAAGAATAAAGAATAAAGATTTCTTTATTCAAGCTTAAGAATAAAGATTTTTCCTTTTTTATCTTTTGCTTTTAGGAAGACTTATTTTTTGATTCCAGAGATGGAGTTATATGAAGTTGTAGCTTTATATTTGTTGCTTTATAATGAGTTGTTCTCAGCTAGAGGTAATTTTGTCTTCCAGGGGACATTTGGCAATATCTGAAGCTTTTTCTGGCATCCAACTACTGATTCTACCTTTCTTTGCTAAATTACTTGCTCTGATTTTGAACATAGTTAACAGTTTCATCATTTTTTGAATTGAGGGATATACCTCCTATAACTGTAGTGTAGAATATTTTTCAAGTTACTAACGTAATACATGTTTATGACAGCAGATTAGGACAATGCAGAAAATTGTGAAGATATAGTTAGAATTTACTCAGAATCTAAACATGTTCGTCACTGGTAGCATGATAGTGTATACTTTCTAGGATTTATTTTTGTATGTGTGTGTGTATGTGTGTATATGTGTCTGTGTGTGTGTTTGTACTAGGTGTTAAACTCAGGATCTGGGTCCCCTGTCCCTTGGCTTTTCACTCAAGATTGGTGCTTTATCACTGTATTGAACCGGTGCTCAACTGCTATACTCTATTTTCCCCCTATAAATCTTTGTTTCAATGGTCTGTTCCTGTGCATTGTAGAATGTATAGCAACATTTTTCCTCTGATTACTACATACAGTTATCAAACTTCCCTTCTCTAGAATAGGACATTAGGAAAAATGTCTCTGGATTTTGCCAAATATCCTTTTCAGGGTCAGATCATTTAGGTTGAGAACCATTAATGCTTTGAGATAGTAACTGTGTTTTCCCATTTGTATTTTTTGTTGTTTTGTTTTCTTTTTGCTTTTGTTTTATTATTATTTTGCCTGGAAGTTAATGCCAAATTTATGTCTACTAGTGGTAGAAATATGGAAAAAAGTGTTTCTTCATATAATAGGTGTTTGGCATCTTCTTTGCTTATTCCCTATTCCTGTTCCTAGCTTTCTAGCTCCCCCTGGGATGTCCAAATCCTAACTCGATCTTGCTGTCTTCCTACAGTGTTCTAGGCTCTGGCCTCTTCTTCCATTAGTCAATATGGTTTTATCCACTTATGACTTCAAGAATCTTCTTGTCCATTAATGATCTGTGTGACTGAATCTACTCCTAGATTCAGTGTGTGGCTGTAATACTATCCCTTTTTGTTTTCTTTGTTGTCATGTCATGGTTACTGAAAGTAGGCAGCAAATGCTGGCATTCTGTCTTTCATCTATTTGGAAACTGCTCAGTTGTTTTAAAGTAGATAACTGGAGAACACTTATATCTTAATTCAGTTAACACATATTCATGAAACTGTTTTATCCTGACCATTGTTTACTTATGGTTATACTTTCTTTCCTAGGGCTCATTATCCTGGAACCCTTTCAGTACACAATGCACAGCTGACTGGGAAGAAACTTTGGTCTTCTGAAGATTTTAGTACATTAAACAGTGATGTGGGCGCAGGCTGTTGGGCTCGAATATTAAATCAGAATTATATTAATGGCTATATGACTTCGTAAGTTATTAAGAACCTTTTAAGAATTTTATTATAAAAAATTCTGAAAACAAGTAGAAAATGCTACTCTTGTATTCTTATGGTCTCTATTTGATGATCTTAAATCATCATTTGCTTTATTGGCTTCATTTACACCTAATTTACATCTAATCTGAACTCATTTTCCTATATATGCATATAGCTTATATTAAGAAAAGTTAGTTTGTTGAGGCATAGTTAATGGGTAGTAAAATTTATAAAAAATGATAATTTGTATAAAAATTATAAATTGCTTTATGTGTTTTGCCACTGTATACCTACATAGTTCAGTCTGTGTTTCCCAAACATAAGGATATTTTTACATGACTATACTATAATTTCTATGCATATTGATATTTAAAAAATACTTTGTCAGTACTGGGGTTTGAACTTAGGTCTTGTGCTTTCCAGGTACATACTCTACTACTTGAGTCCCACCCCACCTTTCTTGCTTTTGTTAATTTTTGAGAAGTGTCTGACATAGTATGCTGGTCTGGGCTGTACTAAGGTCCTCCTGTGTATGCTTTCTGTGTAGCTGGAATAGTAGGCTTGTACTACCGTACATGGATTTTGTTGGTGAAAATGAAGTCTCAAAAACTTTTTCCCTGGGCTGACTTCAAATTGTAACCCTCCTGATCTCCATCTCCTGAATAGCTAGGATTATTGATGTGAACCCAAACTTGCCTTGTCTGAAGAAGCACCTGGGATCCTAGTTACATTGATTGCTAGGTTGCTGTGAGGCCTCACTGAATCCGGGTCTACAAGGAGGGATCTTGGGATATTGTTTGTCTAGTCCAGGAGATTTTGATTCTGCACAAGTTTGGGAAACACCAATGTTGAGAATGTATTATGCCTCATTGAATATTTTTCTCTTCCTAGAAAAATACAAGTTATTTTAATCCATAGCTTCATACAAATTGAAATGATTAGCCACATATAAATATATTTGTGCATACCTGTAAATATTTTCTTAGGGTGTATCCTTAGATATGAAATATCTAGGTGAGAGGTAATAGAGTTTGAAGGCTTTTGTATATCTTTTACAAAATGCCTTCCAGAAAGTTTATCTGATTGATTGATCTATCTCTAATCAGAGAAGATACCAGGACTTACCAAAACTCTGAGCAAAATCATGTAATGTTCACTGATAGAATTTTCAAAGTTGAGAGTATTATTTCTACTTTGTTTTGAAATAATTAGAAAGATTTTATTGCCTAAGTATGGCAGTCTGACATTTTGTGATAGGTTCCAGCTTGATCAGAAAAATAAAATTCTATAAGTAAACTATTATTATTATCATTAATATTACTACTACTACTATTTAGATGTGAGAAACTCAGATTGGTATAAGAACTTCTCTTCTGTGTTTGGCTTTTCTGAGTCACAGTTTTAGGGTTCAGTATTTTCTGTGGACTTTTAGGACTGATCAATTGAAAGAATAAGCCATAAAGCACACCAGCAAGTAGATCCAACCAATGTTCATAGCTGAAACAAAATGCTATATCAGCAGTAAAGCTCAGACCTTGATCTTGATTCTTTTTTATATGCTTTAATATGTTTAATATTCCCAACCAACTTGTGATTTAAGTACACATACTATCCTTATTTTATAGATAAGAGTACTGAGATCCAGAGGGGTTAAATGTTAGAGTCAGCATCTGAACCCAGGCAGTCTGACACTTCAGAGTTCTCCATTGTAAAACTTTGCAATAGCAAGTTCATAAAAAATTATGTCATAAGATGGGGACATTATTGAAGGCTGGCTGTTGAAAGGAAAGCAGGTATAGACAGCTTTCATTTACATTTGGCACTAATCAAGAATGTGTTATTGTTGGCTATGAATTTGTACATTCCATATGCATTTGTATTTTTTATGATGTGATTCATCATTAAAATGCTTAATTATTTCAAAGTGTGAGTAAAGTTAAGCAGTTTTTATTTTCTTGGTTTGGGTGATCATTTTATATTCATTTACATGATAATTATGATAAGTATTCTTTACTCCATGTTTTTATCACATGCTTTTATTTTTTTAATCACATACTTTAGGACAATCGCTTGGAATTTGGTGGCTAGTTACTATGAAGAATTGCCTTATGGACGATGTGGACTGATGACTGCGCAGGAGCCGTGGAGTGGGCACTATGTAGTGGAATCTCCCATTTGGGTGTCAGGTATGGTTCACATTCTTTTTTTTTTTTTTTTTTGGTCCAGTCGTGGGGCCTGAACTCTGGGCCTGAGCGCTATCCCCCAGCTCTTCAGCTCAAGGCTAGCGCTCTACCACTTGAGCCACTTCCAGCTTTTTTCTTTTTGCTTATGTGGTGCTGAGGAATCGAACCCAGGGCCTCATGCATGCAAGGCAAGCGCTCTACCACTGAGTCACCTTCCCAGCCCCTTCACATTCTATCTTACCCTAAATTCCTCTCTACCAGGCAAAGCAGAAAAAACCTACAGGAGATGCTATACACTCCATGTATCACAAAATCTCTGTCCATGTTTTGTGAGTCTCCATTTTAAAAGAGATTTGTCAGTGTTTTAATAAAATTATTTTGAGAAATCAGACTACTTTCTGTATTCTGTATTTGATTTTTCATGGACCAAAATCTTAGAAATGACACAAAGAAGGGAAAGGAGCAGGGGAAGAAGGAATGTTAGTGATGGAGACAGAAATAATCACCTAGAACATATAATCACAAGTCTTAATGGCTAATAAAGTGAGATATTGATAAAGATTTATTTCAGTTAACAGTATCTAAATTAGGTCTTAGAGACACTTTATTCTTTTAGATGAACTCAGTTTTGTGATCATTGTGCTAAGAAAATACTAATTTACAACAGTTATATTTATTGAATTGTTGAGTAAGTAAAATACCATGACTGTTCCCCAAATCTATAAGTATGCATTGTTAAAAGGTAATTTTCAGAAAAAGACACAATCTTGTCTTGAATATAAATATGCGCACATGCTAAAGATTTTGTTACTTGTGTGAAGAAAATGTTAGAACCAGTTCAGAGGAAAAATCAACATAGCACAAATTTGAGATGAATTATAAATGGAGATAAGTTGAGTTTTCTGCAGTTGAGTTAAATGTCTTTTAGAGAAAAAACATAATTAACATAGTTCAGAGACAGGCCTATTGATCCAGCCATTTCTTTCTTTTTTTTTAGTTCTTTCATTCTTTTTTTTTTTTTTTTGCTAGTCATGGGGCTTGAAATCTGGGCATGTGTGTTGTTCTTGAGTTTTTGTACTTAAGGCTAGTTAACTCTACCACTTGAGCTACAGCTCCATTTTCCGGTTTTTAATTTTAATTTTTTAATTTTTTATTTTCCTGCCTGGACTGGCTTTAAATTGCCATCATCAGCTCTCAGCCTCTTGAGTAGCTCTGATTATAGGCATGAGCCACTAGCACTGGCTCAGATCCAGCCACTTCTGTTGAATCACAAAACAACATTATAGTGTCATTCATTAGTCACAAAGAAAGATGAGGTCATATAGATGATGAATGGTGTGTTCCACTTTTTCATTGAGGGTTGTAATTATATTAATGACAAAATGAATTTAACAAATTAAAAAATCTGTTGTTTAATAAAATTTTTGGGTTTTGGTAAAAATATTTAACATTGGTGACTATTTTGTTTCTAAAATCATAACCACTCACTGTACTTAAAAAAAAAGATTTCTCCAAATGTAAGATGCTTTCAGAGAAGAATTATAAATCAAAGTGAACCTGCTCAAATCTTAAACCTTTATTTTCTTGATTATCTCTTTTAGTTGATATGCTGTCCTCAGAAATTTTTAATCATGACCTTAGTAGTTATATTGTGATATTATTCTAAATTACTTGACTTGTTCTTCTGAATATGTGAAAAATTAAGCTAGACTTACATGTCTTTTTTGATGAACTATTTAAGTGTTTAAATTGTTGTTTCCACTTTCCTAGGCAATACATACTTCTAGTCTGGGTGTGGGGGTGGGGATGTGAAATACTGTTTATTAGTACAATGACAAATTTGGAGGTGACAACAAAACATATATTGTAAGACAATTGAGGCCATAAAAGCAGTTTTTGAAATGCATTATTATAATTCTTTGTTCTATTAGGTTGGGTTAATGGAGATAAGCCAAGAGAGGTGTAGCTAGAGGAATAACTTAACTTTGCTCTTGGTGAAAAATAACCACCCAATGTATACTAATGTAAGTTTATTTTTACCACTCTGTCATTCCAAGAATCTTTGTGCAGTTATACCATTTAAGTGGATTAGTTAAATGTGATTGGCATATATTTTCCTCTAAAGTAGAAAATACCTTGCTAGAATAAATCAGACTCCAATTGGTTAAACTGCCATATTGTTTTTTTTTTAAAGAAACTCTGTCATCACCATTTTTATCTTACTTGCATTTCTCTCTGCTTTCCTACAGCACATACATCTCAGTTTACTCAACCAGGTTGGTACTACTTGAAGACAGTTGGCCATTTAAAACAAGGAGGAAGCTATGTAGCTCTGACTGATGGCTTAGGTAACCTCACCATCATCATTGAAACTATGGTAATTGTTTTGTTGTTGATATTGGATTACTTCATTTGTTTAGTGTTGGAAAAGTAGTATGATACAAAATTGAACACACATATACACCCTGCATATATTCACATATACAGAAAGCTGTCAAGGTTTTATAGCTTTCATTTAAAAATTTAGTCACGAGTCAATAAAACAGCAGCACAACTCACTAGTTTTACCTGTTTATTAACCTCCAAGACTTTCCGTTGTCCTGATATGTTAGGACAGGGAAGCTGTGGCTCTTCCATTGTCTATCTTAGATGGGCTGTTTGAGGGATATTTTTAGTCTATTGAGAGAATAGTTTTAAGTGTCTGGGAGGCTGTACTGGGGAGAAGGGATGGCAGGGATGAACAGAAGGATGGAGAAGACAGGGCCTGGAAATGAGTGGAAGACTGAAGGATGAAAAGAAGCAAATGGAAAGATTAAGTTATACAGGTGCCAGATTGGAGAGATCTTAAGCTTCCCAAAACACTAGTGAAATTCCAACTCGGAGGCAGCAGGCATTACTGGTATTCAGCAGAGGGTTTCAGTTTACTAAGAAGTTTGCATGGGAGAAGAAGGATCTGAGTGAGAGAACAGAGCATCCATAAAAAATATGTGTTGTGTAGCGACTATGATTGGGTTTCTAGTGTCAGTTTACCATTTGGCCATCTCCTGGTCAATATTTAAGAAGATCCTTTAAAGGTATATTATTTATCAGGTTCCAGAGGACAGACAGTAAATATTATAGGCAATTCTGATTCTTTTTAAACCAAAGTTGTCTGTTGAATGACTCAATTGAACCAAAAATTGGTAAGCCCTTCATGACTTGAGCTTCTCATGGACCAAAGAGGACTTCTCAAAAAAGGGCACAAACAGCCCTTTACCAAGATCCAGAACCATTCCCAAAGACAGCCCAAAGAAAGAAGGACAGATGTTCCCTCCGACCCTCTAGCTGGAAACAGAATGCTACCTGCAAATGGGATACAGTCTACATTTGGTATAGCCATAGTCTTGGAGCTTCCTGCCCCCAAAAAGATGAAGTTGTGTGCTTGCACAGAGAACTGACAGTCCACCTGTTGTCAGATGAGATTGGGCTGTTGACAACTGAGACTTGAGGGTATTAGTCAAGCCAGTCATAGGACTTAAATTGGGACAAATATAAAAGTGAAATTTAGATGTCCTTTGGGAAGGAAGGACCAAATTCATATAAGAATCACAAACTAAACAATTGTCTCCTGATAATCTGAATTTGGAAGGGGGAGGATAAGAAGGATTTTTTAAAAGTCTTCTTCTCTTGCCAGTTGGTAGCATCATGTAGCATCAAGCAACAGGATGCTCCAAATGTAGCTTGTCTTCCACCTGTTCCTTTGTGTTGTTCCTGACAAATGTATTACATTTCTGTCTATTGTTAGTTAAACAGTACAATTATATGCATATTGTATAAAATACTTTTAAAGTAAGTTACAAGAAAAAAGGATAAAAGCTACATGTTTACTGTCTTTAATATGATTGTTGTATTTTATGAAAGCTGTACCTGTTGCCAGCACATTCAGTTTTTGTATATCTGAGATGTGTTTTGCCCTCATTTTGTGAAAGATATTTTTGGATGGATATAAGATTTTTGATTGACAGCTTCTTTGGCATTTTGACATATTGCCTTCACAGATGAAAAAGAATCAGCTGCAAATCTTATAAAGTTCTTCTTATAAGATTATAAAGATGATCAGTCATTTCCAGTCTTGCTCTTAAAATCTTTTTATCTTTGATTTTTGGCATTTATTATGATGTGTCTGTGTGTATATCTCCTTGCATTTATTTTCATAGTTTGATGAAATTAAGGAATATGTAGACTAATTTTTAAAGTCATACTTTTAAAGTTTTAAGGCTTTATTTATTTGAGGACTTTTTGTCATCTTTTTTCTTATGGACCATAGATTATTTAGAAATTTATTTGTTTTCTGAATATTTTAGAATGATTCTGAAGTTTTTTTCAGTTATTCTCATTTTAATTATATGGTGGGAAATGTTATACTTTGTGTGACTAGAACCTTTCAAATTTATTATGATTTGTGTTTTGGTTAGGATGTGGGAGACCTTGGTCAGTTCTCCATGTACACTTGAAGGGGATATGCATTCTGCTGTCACTGGATGGAGTGACTTACAGATCTCAGTCAAAGCAAGCTGCTTGACACTGTTGAAATCTCCTATATATGCGTACTGATTTTCTATTTGTACTCTCAGTTACTGAGCGTGGAGCACTGAGGTGTCTTGTTTATTTTCTTTATTTTTAAATTATATTTTTGTTATCTCTTAAGTAGTTTTTTAAAGGGGTTATTGTTACATGTTAGTGTATGAATATGCATATTAATCAACAGCACCCCTTTCACCAATCTCCCTCCTTCATTCCTACAATCCAACCCATCCCCTCAATTTTCCTAGTTGAAGTGTCTATTTATGATGATTTTTAATTTTTTTTTTTTGGTTGTTGGGTTTGAACTCTGGGCATGGGTGCTGTCCCTCAGCTTTTCAGCTCAAGGCCAGTGCTCTACTGCTTGAGCCACAGCACCACTTCCTGTTTTCTAGTGGTTTATTGGAGATAAGAGTCTCATGGACTTTCCTGCCCAGGCTGGCTTTGAACTGTGATCCTCAGATCTCAGCCTCCTGAGTAGCTAGGATTACAGGCATGAGCCACCTGTGCCGGTGATTTTTAAAAATTTTATAATTGTCTGTTAAGCCTGGGACAGAACCTTTTTTTTAAAGAAAATAAGTTTTTTTTTATTGTGAAAATACTGTACCAGAGGGGTTACAAGCATTGTTGCCTCCTCCTTTGTTTTTCCCCTACCATCCCTTCCCTCCCATCTCCACGATTACTTCCCTCCTCCCACCTAAATAGCTGAGTCCTGTAATTGTTGAATCCTCTAAAGTAGAATTTATGTCTTTCCAGCTCATAATCGTGACTTGTGAAAGATGACAACAATATGAGAGCTATTCGTTGTATCTATTAAGCTGACCTTTGTGTGAATTTGAAAGATATAGTTATATGGTATATCTTTTCAGTGAAACCTTCAAAAAACATTTTTTTTGTAGGTCCTAGGACTTAAACTCAGAGACTGGGCACTGTGCCTGAGCTCTTTTGCTCAAAGCTAGCACTCCTTATCATTTTGAGTGGTAGCACCACTTCCAGTTTTTGGGTGGATAATTGGAGATTAGTCTCCAATTAGTCTCACAGACTTTACTGTCTGGGCTGGCTTCAAACCACGGTCTTCAGATCTTTGCTTCCTGAATACTTAGGGTTATAGGCCTGAGCCTCTGGTTCCTGGCTAAAGCTTTTTTTTTCCATTTGATATATTTTACTTGGAAAGTGTTTATAACAAAAAATTGAACAGTTGAAGTGTAATTGAGATTTGCTTTGTCTAGTCACACAAAAGACACATTCATTAAGAGTACAGCAGAAAAATTGTTAACATTTAAGATAAATTCATAGTTATGTAATGTGTGCTACTTATATTAATCTTGGGATATTAGTTATTTATAGCTTGTATAATATCATGTGGATAACTTAACTTCGTTTTATCTTCAGAGTCACAAACATTCTATGTGTATCCGGCCATTTCTTCCCTATTACAATGTATCACAACAATTGGCTACCTTTTTTCTTCAGGGAACTCTTGTAAGTACATATGTATCACATTATTACTTCTATCACAGTCCAGCAGTTCTTATGTGATAAGTCATACATATGAGTTAATAATAATTTGCATTTGTATCTCCTGACTCCTTTTAAAGAAATAGGACAGAAGCCAGAACATGTCAAAGGTCTTTGAGGAACACTTATAAAAGTCACTTGTAAGAAAATTATCCTTGGAGCTGGGTGCTGGTGGCTCATGCCTGTAATCCTTGCCACTCAGGAGGCTGAAATCTGAGGATCCCAGTTCAAAGCCAGCCCAGGCAGGAACATCTGTGAGACTCTTATCTTCAATTAACCACTAGAAAACCAGAAGTGGTGCTGTGGCTGAGAGTGCTAGCCTTGAGCTGAGGAGCTGAGGGATAGCGCCCATGCTCAGAGTTCAAGCCCCATGACTGACCAAAAAAAAAAAATTATCCTTGGTGGCTTGAGCATCAGTTATATACTATAAAACTATGCTTAGGGCTGGGAAGGTGGCTCAGTGGTAGAGCGCTTGCCTTGCATGCCTGAGGCCCTGGGTTCAATTCCTCAGCACCACATAAGCAAAAAGAAAAAAGCTGGAAGTGGAGCTGTGGCTCAAGTGGTAGAGCCCTATCCTTGAGCTGAAGAACTGAGGGACAGCGCCCAGGCCCAGAGTTCAGGCCCCATAACTGGACCAAAAAACAAAAACAAAACAAAACAAAAAAAACTGTGCTTAAACAGTGATCTTTGGAATACTCTAAAATACTCAGTACTCTATACCAAAACAACAATACAAATCACCAAAGGCACTATTTGTTTACTTTATACTGAAAAGCGGGTAAAAAGGCACCATATTTCTACTTCTTCTCAACAAAATTTTGGCCAATCGACTTCAACAGTCCATCCAAAAAATCATACACCACGATCAAACAGGATTCATTTCAGGGATGCAAAGCTGGTTCAATATATGCAAATCAATTAATATAATTCACTACATCAACAGGAACAAGGATAAGAACCACATGGTTATCTTAATAGATGCAGAAAAAGCATTTGACAAGATCCAACACCCCTTTATGATGAAGGTCTTGGAAAAATTAGGAATCCATGGAACATGGATTAATACAATAAAGGCTGTATATGACAAACCTACAGCCAGCATTATTCTTAATGGTGAAAAACTAAAGCCATTTCCTCTTAACTCAGGAACAAGACAAGGATGTCCACTCTCTCTACTTCTCTTCAATCTAGTATTAGAATGCCTAGCTACAGCAATAAGACAAGATGCAAACATAAAGGGGATCCAAATAAGGAAAGAAGAAATAAAACTCTCCCTCTTTGCAGATGACATGATCTTGTATTTAAAGAATCCCATAGATTCCACTCCCAAATTACTCAAGCTGATTCAAAACTTTGGCAAAATAGCAGGGTATAAAATTAACCCTCAAAAATCAATGGCTTTTATATATGCCAACAATGAGAAAAGTGTGGCTGAAATTAGGAAAGCAACTCCATTTGTAATAGCCCCACAAAAAATAAAATATCTAGGAATTCACTTAACCAAAGAAGTGAAAGACCTCTATGATGAAAACTTTAAAAAGGAAATCAAAACAGAACTTAGAAAGTGGCAAAAACTCCCATGCTCCTGGATTGGAAAGATCAACATCGTGAAAATTGTTAGATTTTTTTTTTATTTTTTAGTTCGGTCATGGGGCCTGAACTCTGGGCCTGGGCGCTGTCCCTCAGCACTTCAGCTCAAGGCTAGCGCTCTACCACTTGAGCCACAGCGCCACTTCTGGCTTTTTTCTTTTTGCTTATGTGGTGCTGAGGAATCGAACCCAGGGCCTTGAGCATGCAAGGCAAGCGCTCTACCACTGAGCCACCTTCCCAGCCCCAGATTTTTTTTTTAACCAGCGATTGATTGAATTTAGGATCCTGTGCTTGCTTGGCTTACTTGCTCACAGTGGATGTTCTACTACTTAGCCTTGCTTCTAGTTGAGCTTTTCTCTGGCTTGTTTTCAAGATAGAGTTTCGTGGGTTTTTCTGTCCTGGCTGGCTTTGAAGCTCATTCTTCCAGATCTTGGCCTCCTGAGAAGCTAGGATTATAGGTGTGAGCCACTGGCACCTAGTTCTTTTGTTAGATTTGAATTGAGAACGTTCAGTACCTTTTATTTTTTTATTTTTTTTTCGTTCAGTACCTTTTAAATTAATACATATAAAATTATTTTTATACTAGAAGATTCTTAAAAATGTTTTTATGCAGATACAATAGTGAGTACTTTTGAAGCAAAGGCTTTTTTTTTTTAAACATTTGGCAGAGTTCTTTAGTATTCCTATCTTGGTTAATACAATACCAAAGATCATAACCAGGAGATAAAGATGGAGATTTATTGCCTGTGACAGGTAAGAAGAGCACTGTAGGCTTCCCCTCCCCCCCCAAAGCAATGATCTTCTCCTGAAAAAGCAGCAGGGGGATTTTATTCAGGGAGCCTGTGCATGTTGATATACAAAAGCACACTGGAGATGGGTACATCAGAGCATGATGTATATGGTGGATATTTCTCAGCATGCTCAGTTTAAAGTCACAATTCAAGAACAAAAGATGATAAGGCATACTTCTGAGCATGCTTAAATTAGCTCAAGGCCATAGAGCAGGTGTTCATACAGGAAAGATGGTAGACAAGATTGCTTCTGTGTGTGCTCTCTTCATTGTTACCACAAGCTAAGTTTACTCTGGGTCTAGGTCACCTAAAAGAATAGTGGTTAGCATGTTCTCTGCAAGTTTCTCTGAAGAGTCTTATCTGAAACAAAAGTAAGGGCCCTTCTGAAAGTCTATTAATGCAGGGGTTTGTTCTTGAAAATGCCTGGCTATCTTGCTTAGTAGCTGAAATTTATGAGAAATAAAGTATTAGCTTAAACAATGTCTTACTAATTAATAGTTGATTTTTTTTGTAAATAGCACATTATCATTGTGTTTATTTTTTAACTAGTACGTATTTGGGAAATGAAATATTAATCCATGCTTTTTTTTTTCTCTAGAGTGATATACCAGAGCTACAGGTGTGGTATACTAAGCTTGGAATACCATCTGAGAGATTCCTTTTTAAACGACTGGATTCTATATGGGTAGTTTTAAAGTCCTTTATTTTAATTTTTGTCAGTTGTGAGTCTGGGTGCTGTCTCTGTGCTCTTCAGCTCAAGGCTAGTGCTCTACCATGTTAGCTACCATGTCAATTCCTTTTATTTTAATTTATTACAGTAAGACAGTTTAAAAAGTGCCAGGAATTGGCTAATGAATGAAGAACTTGAAAGTTTGTAATTGATTTTATGTTTTATTTTAAAATTTTCTTTTATTGTAAAGGTGCTATACAGAAGAGTTAGTTACTTGAGTATGGCTGAAGCAAATGAGTGTTTTCTATTTCTTAACTAGAAATCCTGTTTAAGGAATTGTAGATGTCTGTGTGTTTATAGATGTTTTTGGCTCTTTAGTCCTAGTTTGCCTCAGTTGCTGCCCAGGTGAGAAATTCAACTCTTATTGGAGATTTTTTCCCTCTCTATCCCACTATGATCACAGAAAGACGATTCTGTCATCTGTATATTTTTCTCATTTCCAATTTCTACTGCTATGGCAAGTTTAACTTGCTCATTATTGCTCGCATGGATTTCAGATTTGCCTCCTGGTTTTCTAGCCCCAGTGTTGACTTACTCAAGAATAGCTTGCCACACTGCCACCAGAGGGGGGCATGTTTGTAATGTGGGTCTGATTTGTGTCTGTGCCTTGTTCAAAATATGTCAGTGATTTTTCACTGTCATTTCATTCCTTAGTGTAGCATCTGACCTTCATTGGCTCATCAGAGGTGAAAGATGGCTTTTTTTCTTATTAAATTGTCCACTCTTTATTAAACTTCTATAGTTTTCAAAGCATGTATAAATGTTTACTTACTTCTGTGACTGAACATGCTTTTTCTTCTCCCAGGATGGCTTCTCCTGTCTGTTATCTTTCCAAGTTTAGCTCATCTGACACTTGAGCTTTCTCTATCAGTCATCCTACAGCTACCTAGGACTGTGTGCTGACCAACTTAAACATGGGTCTTAATACAGTGTTCTTACTACTGTGCTTAGTATAGGCTGTTTTTTCATGAAACGTTTCAAAGAATGAATTGGCCCAGGCAAGCATATTACTTAACTTAATTGACATGATTGGCTACATTTCTGATAATTACTCATGTTCTAATAATTGGTCATTATTAATTATTAAACACCCATTGAAAAAGAACATTGTACATTTTGTCTAATCAGTTGCTAGAAATAGTGTAATGAACTATGATTTTCTCCTGTTGGAAAAAAGATAATCTAGAGCCCAAATTTGGCATCTGATATTTCATATCTGGCCATCAACTAACTACTAAGGGTATATGAACCATTTAACTTCTAAGTAGAAAGAGAACTTTTCACAATTGTATAAAATGAGCATAACTTTGCTTCCTACCTTAATAGTATATGAAAGGGTTGGTAGTGCCTTTAGAGGTTTATGGTTAACAAATAGCAGTAATACAGGCAGTTGTGTTTCCTGTCAGTCCCTCATTGAGATAAGCATTTCATAATCATTGTCTGCCTTCATCCTTACAACACCCCTTTCAGGTATATATTTTCCCCCTTTATTTTTATGTGAGGGGAAAAAACTTGAAAACATTAAGTTGTCAAAGTCATAAACATTACATAAACTTACCTTGCTTATTAAAATTTATATTGAATTTATAATGATCAGAACTTCTCTTTCTTGAGAACCATTTTCTTTTTTTTTTATTTGTGAAGATACTGTACAGAGGGGTTACAATTACATGGGCAGGATAATGCGTACATTTCTTACCAAGCATTGCAGCCTCCTCCTTTTGTTTACCCTTCACATCCCTTCCCAGCCTCCCCCCTCCCCCCCAATCCCAATCCTTCTCCTTCCCCCCCTTCCCCCTCTCCCCGCACCGACGTTGTAAAGCTCGTTTTGGACATGACAACTTGTACTTCTCATTGTTGCAACAGGTCCACCTGTATCTTTAAACAACTGGTTTTTCCCCTTCTCCTCCTCAAGTTATACTGACATCAAATATAGTGAAAGCAGGGGTTATACTGTGGGGGAGGGACATACAAAGCAACAAAGAGATAATCTTATAAATGCATTAGAAACACATGCATGAAAGAAAAAAACATTAAAATACATATCTAAGGGTTCATTTTCCTGACATCACATTATCTGACCTTTTCCACTTGACTCATAGATATACTAGATATTGCAAATAAGGGAAACCATGGGACCTATGTTTCTTTGAGCCTGGCTTACTTCACTTAATATAATTTTTTCCAAGTTTTTCCATTTCCTAACAAATGGGGCAATGTCATTCTTTCTGATGGAGGCATAGAATTCCATTGTGTATATATACCACATTTTCTTGATCCATTCATCTACCGAGGGGCATCTGGGTTGGTTCCATATCTTAGCTATGGTAAATAATGCTGCAATAAACATAGTTGTGCTGGTAGCTTTAGTGTGGTCTTGTTTGTAAACATTTGGGTAAATGCCCAAAAGTGGGATTGCTGGGTCATAGGGGAGTTCTATGTGAAGTTTTTTGAGGAACCTCCATACTGCTTTCCAAAGTGGTTGAACAAGTTTACATTCCCACCAACAATGAAGTAAGGTTTGAGAACCATTTTCTGTGATTAACAGTTGAGTGACTAGTGAGGTTTTAGTGAGTTTTTCTCCCTTCTAAAAGTCTTAAGGGAGAAATGAGCAGAGCCTTCAGTTGCATGTATTAAATATATACAAGTTCTAAGGAGCTTACTGTACAATTGAAAAGAATAGGCTAATAGATATGTTTGGGCACCATTTATTCTTTTCTCCATGCAATGGCATTCTTTTTTTTTCCTATGAAGTATGGAAGGAAATCTTCTAAAATCGATTCAACTATAAAGTCCTTGTAAATAGGCCTAGAACATTACCAAGGGCCTTGATATGTTGTCTCACGAGGATTGAGGCAATCCTGACAGGAATGAGTTGGTCTTTGTGTTAAGATCATTTTTCTCAAGGTGTTTTGAGGCAGTGGTGTGAGCTACCCTTGGCCTTGAATGTAGGCATTTTCTCTTCCAGCTCCTCGACAGTGGTGGCACTTTCACGTTGGAACTGCAAGAGGATGAGATATTCACGCTCACCACTCTCACCACAGGTCGGAAAGGCCAGTTCCCATTTCCTCCCAAATCCCGGCCCTTCCCATCTATCTATGATGATGATTTCAATGTTGGTAAGTTTTTTAAAATATTTCTTTTTGTGATACTGGGTTTGATGGTTCATTCAGCTCTCAGGTCCCTGTGTGGTAAGAGGAGGCATAGCTTTATGTTTTTCAGTGTTAGAAATGTGTAGAGGTCATTGTCAGAATGAAAGTTACAATTCTAGGTTGCTTCTGGTGTGACTGAAGATTTGAAACTTTTATGCCTCATTAACTATCACTGACATTTTTCTTCTGTGTGAAGGTTAAGCCATGTTAATGTATGTCTTTCCATGGTACTGGTGAATTGATTAATTAGAAGTAATTGTGTTATCCTTGGGTAACCCAACTTACCACATACCCTCTAGCTATGCCTTTGAGTTTTCTATTATAATTCTCCTTCTGGTGTTTAGGAGGATTTGACCTAAAGCCAATAGAGAAAGCCCTTGATTGGTCATTTGGCAAAAGTTAGGACATGGTCATTGTCATATTCATAGATCACTCAGCAAGCAGCACAACTTTTTGACTAAGAAGTAATATTGTATAGGATTATAGGTGTCACTGATGGATCATGTGGGTCTATAATCTCCTAAACTCTGTGCCTATAGAAGAATAGCAGGGAGGAAATTAACATTACTGGGGAGTGACTTGAATCTCCTATTGGCTTCAGGGCTACTTAGAGACTCTTCCCCCTAATAGTCACTGCTGTAGGAACTCAGCTCACTCTCCTAGGAAAAACCATCTTCCAGCTGATTGGCATATGTAGCTCTGAGGACTGTTTGTACTGGAGTCTGCCCAACCATTTGGATCATATAAACGTTGGATTATATGAACATCAGTACCCCCTAGACCTAAATTGTAAGCTTTGGTTATAAGTATTATTTTGTTTATAAAACTTCTCAAAGTGCTTGAAAATGTACTATTTCAGAGAGGAGAGATTTTGTAAAGACTCAAGTTATTAAGATACTAAGTGGATAATTTATTATGTTCTGAACAGAGTACCCATTTTTTAGTGAAGCTCCATTTTTTGCTGATCAGACGGGTGTATTTGAGTACTACATGAACACTGAAGACCCAGGAGAGCATCAGTTCACTCTACGACAAGTTCTCAATCAACGCCCGATTACTTGGGCTGCTGATGCTTTCAGTCCAATCAGCATTATAGGAGATTACCAATGGTATGTAAGATCTGGATGAAATAACCTTATAATGTTGGGTACATTCTGAAATGAGGTGTTTTCAACTGTTTTCCTTTTGCCAAGAACCCAATAGGTATGTAATTATTAAATATCATGATGAGTACAAATCATCAATTTGTGTGTGTGTGTGTGCGTGTGTGTGTGTGTGTGTGTGTGTGTGTGTGTGTGTGTGTATCTGTGTCCTTCCTTCAAATTAGCCTAATTTAATAGTGACTCTTGTAGGGGAGGTTTTATTTTAGTATAAAAATTGAGGGCTTTGGGACCTAATTAAAATTTAATGTTGATTTACAGCTTTTGAGATTTTGAGTGTTTTTTTTTTTTTTTGATTTACTAATCTCATGTTTCCACCTGCTGGATCAGTAGTAGAATTACATGGTCTTAACTTGTAGAAAATAAAATGACCAACTTTATCTTCTCTAGTACTGTAGTTCAGTGTGCTGCCTTATTATACCTAGTTATTTTCAGAATATTCCTATTACTAGTATAATTCTACTGTAGAAACACACACACAAACACACACACAGCAGTATATCCGAAGTGTGAAAATTAGACAGGAAAGAAGAGATAAATCTGAAAAATCCTTGAATTGTTTAGCTGTAGGCTGCAGAAAATCTGCAGAAAATCCTTTGTATTCCTCAACCATGGTTATAAATTGTGATTCTAGTCCTGAGCTCTGACATAAGTCTTAAGAATTTTGTTTTCCAGAGTCTATGGAACCTTTATAGTACATGGTGTCCTTAAGAGTTACTGATATATAATGAAGATTTCTTCCCCAAATTGGATGAATGACCTTGGTGGCTTGTTTTTTTGAATAATACAAACACTATTTCTTAAGTTGTCGCTGAGGTAGACACTACATCTGGATTTTTTGAGAGTGGTTGTAGAGTTTATGTCTTCTTCATTTGTTTTGTAAGACAGGTGACTAGGTTTAAATGTCCAAAGCATGGGCCCCATTATTTAGATAGATCACTTGTTTTACTGCTTGGTTGTATGCCTTCCCCCACCATTTGCTGTTAGACATTGAATAGCAAGTGAATTAAAAAAATGTCATGTTGGTTGGGATGATTGTATTGTCTCTGAAAGGGAAAGTGTTGTGTTTCCTAGCATGCTGAAAAGGAAACCTGCAAGAGAACTCATTGTAAAAACTATAGTTCCTGGCTAGCTGAATCTTTCCTCTCCTTTAATATCCTCTTAATGGATCCAGGCTCTTAGAACCAAGGTTTTGTTCCTCTGTTTAGACAGATGCTCTGTAGGGTACAATGGTTCAGAAAGTGGGCTTCCTGAACCAGTAGCATTAGCATCACCTGGACAATTCTTACTTGAGTACTTCCAAAGAGTCTACCCAAGACTTAATCAGACGCCGAGGGGATGGGGCCATCAGCTTAAGTTGAACCAGCCCTCGAAAGCTGCTCCAATTTGAGAAGCCCTGTAGCAGTGAGCACAGAGGTGACTGCCTTTGAAGGTGTTGTTAAATCTTGATAGATTTAAATTTAAAAACTGGCTTTGAAATTGTTTATGTTCTCCCTGAGGCTTCTCCCATTTCCTTCATTGATTCTCCTTGATGATGGAAATGAGAATGTCTTTTTTAAAAATGATATTTTTATTTAAGTAGTTGTACAAAGGAGTTACCATTTGACAAAATGTTAATGAATGCAATGCGTCTTGAATGACATCACCCCTTTCAACATTCTCACTCCTCCCTCCCAATCCTACCCTTCCCCTCAATTTCCTAAATTTTTGTAGGGTATGCATTTAATTTTATGACTACAGTCTACCTACTTCCTTTCTTCATTTGTCTTTTGTTCAGAATTATGTGGAAAATTTTATCTTTATAGTGTTAAAAGAAAAAAGTAGCTTCTCAAAATTTGGATAATGAGTTTTATTATAGAAAGCAAAAAATAATATCTACTCCCCATTTAACTAGCAATAAAAGGCATGATTTGCATATATAAAGTTTAAAAGATTTTTCAAGCCTATCCATGCTACATGCTCAGACTTAGTAAGTCATTTTCTCCTCTCATTACAAGATTAAAACCATCCATTATGAAATATCCTATTTGTGCTCTATCAGAATGGCATAATTTAAGAATACTAGTCAACTGTTTTATTCTGCAGGACCAATCTCACTATTGAGTGTGATGTTTATATAGAGACTCCAGAGAAGGGAGGTGTATTCATTGCAGGAAGAGTAAACAAAGGTGGTATTTTGATCAGAAGTGCCACAGGAGTTTTCTTCTGGATTTTTGCAAGTGGATTTTACAGACTTACAGCTGATCTAGGTAAGTGACATTTTTTTACATGACTTACTTGGTGGTATTTTATTTGAGCATCCACTTGTTATTTATGGAAGCAATAAAGATCCTCCCACCCCAAGATGCTGTGTATCTGATTGGTTAGATTTAACTCATGGAAGCACATAGCAAACAATTCATAATAACAGTTACTTAATTTGTATGGAGGTGGGCAGCTCACTGCTGAGAATATAGTTATGCAAGGCTCCTTAGGGTATTGTGGGGATGGACTGAGCTGTGAGGGTCAGATTTGTGTAGGCTGGGGTGAAGTAGTAATAGGAGGAAGTGATACAGAGATTTTAAGAATGCTGCTGTTGGGCTTATGGAAATTAGGGATGGGATTGGTCTACTTAAAGTGGAGAAATTCTATTTCCTAATTTACTTAACACTTAGAAACATCTTTACTTTTCTCATTGATCTTAACTATGCTTGTCCTATGTAGAATAATACTTGGAAGAATAGGGGCTTAAAATAAGTTGAGTGTTGAACTTTATACAGTTCATACATCTGCTTTATTGACATTAGACCTGTGATGTTGACCTTTCTTGGTTTTGTTTCTTGACTTTCCTCCTGAGTTGATTAACATGTCTTTTATAGCTTTCTGTTTTTTACCTTGGCTCTATAAATAAAGGAGTGGGTGGTAAAGACATTGGTATAAGGACTTATTATAACATATCTAATCTGGAAGTTCGGCATGGATTTTCTAAACTATACAGAAAGCCACAGATGTTAATTGATTTGCCCCAAGTCTCAAAAACTAGTTAATTGGAACCATTGCAACTAGGAACTAAATCTTCATCTAATGTCCTCAAGTTCTAGGTTTACTTAGGCATTCAAATGTAATAAGTTTAACTTACTCTTTTCTCCCTATAATTCTAAGTTAGTGCTGTTAACGTGTAAGTAATTCTACTAGCTAGAAATCTGATTGGAGTTTGGGACTACTGCTGTTCTCTGTATTCAGTCCTTTCAAGTACAAATGTCTATCTAAATGGTGTGTGTAACTCTTTGTATTGTGGTTGTTTCTCAGTTTAATTTTACTAATTCTTTTGTGAGCTTACCTATAGTTTATGGCTTGAATAGAATCTCAATAAGTGCTTATTGAATGTATGATGTTTATGAAGACTGGCCAGCTGGAAACCTTTGATTTTGTGATTATAGGAGTCTCTGATTCTGGGTTTTGTTTTTTGTTTTTGTGCTGGTCCTAGTGCTTGAACTGAGGGTCTGGGAGCTGTCCCTGGACTTCTTTTGCTCAAGGCTAGCGGAGCTCCACTTCCAGCTTCTTTGTAGTTAATTGAAGATAAAAGTGTCACGGACTTTAATACCTGGGCTGGTTTCAAATCGAGATCTTCAGATCTCAGCCTCCTGAGTAGCAAGGATTACAGATGTGAGCACAGTGCCTGGCTCTGTGAATTAAATCTTAATGTGTCCATTAGGCTAATTTTTTTCGTGTGTGTGTTACAGCTGGGTGGATGATGTATACTTCAGGACATGCTGAAATTAGAGCACAAGAATGGTATACACTCACCTTAATAATTAAGGCAAGTATTCCTAACCAGAATGCCTAGAGGTAAAATATTCTTTTAACTTTCTAGAGTTTTCAGTTAATAAAATGAATGGAGGAAAGTAAGATAAATAATGAAGAGTAAAGGAACCAGAAAAACATCTGCTGTCATAGGATGAAACTATTTACAGAGTAAACCCACATAGTAACAAACAGTTGACTCTGCCTCTTTTCAGTTGCTTTATTTTTACCCATTGCTTCTATCAGCACTTGAAACCACATATATTCATTCCACTCTGGGCCCTGTGTGTTTGCTACAGCTGCACCTGTGTTAGTTGTTTCTTCTGATATTCTTTTCATATAATATAATTTCCTTTAGACATTAGAATATCAAGATGGATCGTGATGTGGAAGACTTACACCCATCCTACCCCTCAGCCAAGCTAATTATTGTTCTAGCATCTGTGTACATTCCGTTTTGTCCTTGTGGCTTAGCTTCATGCTGTATGCTGTCAGTGTCTTTCTCCAGTTATCCAGTCTGGAGATAGACAAGAAGTAAATGAATGGATGTGCCTATATTTTGATAAAATTTTACTTTAAAAAATGTATCTGACCTCAGGGCTAGAGTTTGTGGACCCTTGCTCTAAGGCAGTAATTGAGTACAAATGGGGTAACTCCTCTACTCTTTATTTTGTAACTGGGATAGGGGTGGTGGTGGTCAGGATGGTGTTTGAGCTTAGATCTGAATGGCTAGAACAATAACAAGAGTTGCTTACATATTTGCTTACATATTTGCATATATATATGTTAATTTTTTTTTCTGGTCATGGGGCTTGAACTCTGGGCTTGGGCACTATCCCTGAGCTCTTCAGCTCAAGGCAAGCACTTTATGGCTTGAGCCACAGCACCACTTCTGGTTTTCTGGTGATTTATTGGAGGTAAGAGTCTCATGGACTTTCCTGCCCGGGCTGGCTTTGAACAAACCATGATCCTCAGATCTCAGCCTCCTGAGTAGTTGTATTACAGGCGTGAGCCACCGGCTCCTGGCTTGCATATGCTTTTATAGTGATATTCTCTAAACTAAGGCTAGAAGTTAAGGTTTCCCTCCTGCCTGGGCAGAGAAAATGAAGGCCTTAAATAGTGAGATAGTAGCAGATGTTTGGGCTCAGGCAACGCCATATCTGAAGAGGCTCTGCTTGTTTCTCACAAGGCTGTATGTGCACCTACAGTAAAGAAACTTTTAGGGGCTGGGAAGGTGGCTCAGTGGTAGAGCGCTTGCCTTGCATGCATGAGGCCCTGGGTTCAATTCCTCAGCACCACATAAGAAAAATGCCGGAAGTGGCGCTGTGGCTCAAGTGGTAGAGTGCTAGCCTTGAGCTGAAGAGCTGAGGG